TAGGGTGGGGATGCTCGAAGTAAATCATTTAGACTATAGCTCAAATAAATATCGAGGCTTTTTGTTCTTTGGCGCCTAAACCTCCAAAATTTAGATATTTGGACCCGTCGGGGTGCAGAGCAGCATTTTCTTTTTTCAGCTTTGGGTCTCTTCCGGACAAGATCAACAAAAACAGCTTCAAACCCTAAACCCTAAACGTGAGCTTCTGAAAACACAGTGTTCTACCATCCTTCAGTCAGGAACCCCTTTAGTCTCTCTGACTCTCCCCTGCCCTCCAGATTGATGCATGTGACTGCTCAGGCTTTAGGGTAGTCCCCCGTAAGTAGATGGGGGGTGGTATAGATATAGTGGAGAAGAACATGGAAACTACTATTTAGAGTTTAGGGTTGGGGGTTTGGGGCCACCCTTAAGTAGATAGAATATGGGGTATATGGGGATCTCATGATGGTTTTGGGCAAGGCCATATTCTATCTACTTAGGGAGGACTATATGTCTGGATTTTAGGGTTTGGGGATTTGAGGGTGCTGTTGAACTGCTTACCCTGCCTTTCCCAGCAGGTGCCTTGCAGGCTGTCCTGAAGCTGATAAGAAGCCACAAACCCCCAGCGCGAAACTTGCTGGTGGTTAGTAGGGCAGGCAGCGATAGATCCTGTAGTAGTCCCGATAAAATCCCCAAGAATTAGCCCCATTCGATTCCGCATTCCTACTTACCACCAGAAAGAACTCTTAAGTGTAAACCCATACAAGTAACGTTACAGTGGTGTCCATTGTTCAGATCCTGATTTCCAGAAAACCACCAAGAAATCCACCCGAAACCGCAGGCTCGAACTCTACACCCAAAGCACAGGTTGACTTTGATCCTCTGGAAGCCCTCCACGAACGTCTTTCTTGACAAGACTCTGGGCGGCTTTTCCTCTAGGGTTTAGGGTGTATGTAGCTGCCCTATCAGAAAGAGCATCCATTCTGGCATCCTTGTCTACTCCCGGGCAAGAAAACCGGGTTTAGTTCTGCCAACCAATATATCATGTTCCGGCACGCGATGGTGAAGGAGTCGTATCAAGCGCATACAGGGCAACTATGAAGGGCATAATGCGGCTACAAAAGCAATATTTGGGACTGGAAGAGTCCCTTCCCCAACGCTTCTAAAAATCAACCCTCTGAATCAGTTCTCTAGTTTCCAAAAACTTTTATCGGAATGCAGCTAGCCCAACTTAGAGCTCCGAGGTTAGTTTACAAAACAATGGGAATGGATGGTTGGAGTCTGTGAGGAACTAGTCCACGTTTGAACAGCAAAGTCAAGCCGCACCTGGAAACGAGTACCGGGTTTGTGCGTAGGGTTCAGGGTATCATCGTCAGTCTTGCATGTAGGGTTTAGGGTTTAGGGTTTAAGGGTTTGCATGTAGTAGCCTAAGCCACTAAGCGCTGAACCTCAAACCTCAAATCAGGTCAGACTCTAGAAGGTTTCTTGCTGGAGCTTGACAGCTGCATGCTTGCGAATCATTCCCAAGGCCTCCAAGTAGCCCAGAGTAGACATCATTTGGGGGATTGTCAAAATTATGGTCCTTTTTTGGGTCCCTAGTATAATACGGGGCCTAATACGGGGCCTAATTAAGGGGACCCAAGAAGGGACCATAATTTTGACAACCACCCATTTATGGGCTTGCAAGCCCAAAGCATGCAGTAGTTATTGTCTTTAGAGCTCCTCCAGTTATACTCTCTCCCCAAGTTAAGATACATGGTTTAGGGAGTAGGGACTGATCGTTCCCAGAATGGCCTAGAAAGATGGCGTGGCCTCGTAAGGATGATGCACGAAATGTCTCCAAAATGGTGTTTAAGAGACCTTGCCTGTAATCCCAGTTACCTACAGCTTAATAGGAATTACTCCGTTTTTAGGAGGCATAACAGTATAACCTGTAAAATGGTAGGTAATTGGGGTTGCTAACATGTTGCATTCTTTTTAGCCAGGCCTTGCGCGTTTGTTTTGCACATCTCTCAGGTGCTAACCATGGGCCCTTCGTTGGGTCTGCAAGGCTTTATACTGTATAATCGGTATATAAGGAGCCTAGGATTTAGGGTCCATACTACGGGCCCATAATTCCAACTGAAGTCTCAGCCAGTGAAGGATCTGCATCAACCAGGAGGACGCAAAGCTTCGAGTTGAGGGTGTGGTGAATCTGGGCTCTTGTAGAACAATTTTTTACATTTTTATTGGTACCTGGGCCCAATATCAATAACAAAAACTCTTTATTAATTGTATTTCAACAACCCAGGAATGTGGGTGCCTACTTGAAGCAATCGAAGTCCATGCTGGCCTGCTGGGATGCTACCTACATGGGCCGTGTCTCGCCATGACGATTGTAAAAATCCTCGAACCAACAGTTGTTGCGAACAGTTCCTAGACGGCCATAAACCACCAATCTTCTACCGTAAGCCCTTAACCCTCAGCTGGCTTAACTTTTTTTGTGTTTTTGCTTTTTTGCTGTTGCTGGGTTCAGTCTCTAAATCTCATTTTCGCGTTTTACGGAGGTGCCTGAGACTCTACAAAAGTAACGCGCCATGCCCATCAGAAGTGGCCTATGAAATTCTGTTTTTGACCCTAAACCCGAAATGGAACAGCAGCTTATGAATCCGAGGCCCGCAGAAAGAGTGAACAGGGCTGGGGACTCGATGTAACGTAGGGGAGCTGGCTTGGGAGGACCCCACCTGAAGAACTCTGTGCTGCAAGGTTTGAGGTGTTTATGGTGTGTGCGTCCCTAAACCCTAAACCCTAAACCCTAAACCCTAAACAGGTTTTTCCTACGCCTGAAATCTCAAACCCCGTACGGCATGCCAAGGCTTGTGGTGTGTCACGGAGATTGCTGCCTTCCTCAAAACTCACGAGGGGGATCCCGCACTCTGGCGTGCCGTTTAGGAACTAGTGGAATCAAAAGGTGTGGGGATCAGGGCTGCGGATTCAAGTGATTAGGGCTTGGGGTTTACGACAGAAAGTTCAGGGCCAGGTTCAAGAACCCTACCAAGCTCTGCCTTGGATTCGTTCAGCAGATGGCTGACGGAGATGAGTAGCGAACGAAATAGGTGACACAGTTGCCAACGAGCCCTCCGAGGAGGAGGCTTAAAACTGTTATAAAAACCCCCAAACCCATAAAGCTTAAACCCTAAATGCTAGTTCCATTTTCTTTTCCAGTATGCCAGCATAACAGCTTAAACCCTAAATAATAGTT